TTGTTCTGCGAATAAATAACACCCTGTTTAAAAATGTCCCTTTTTTTTGTACTACTGGCACCTTTTTTCTGCATTATGTTTGTGCGTGTTTCTGTTTTCTCCACCTTACTTGCATTTGTACATGCAGGGTAAAACATTAGAAACACCTCACAGTATAATGTCCGATGCGGTACGTACAGTGCCGTTCCCTCACGAGTTACAAAAACGAACAAGCACTTCATGGATATAGGGTCAAGGGCAGGCATTTCTATATTTCTGGTCACTCTGTGCAGTATTGTGTGTTATTAATCTGTCCTCTTTCTTGTTTCAGCGAAAGACTGCGAAGATGTCATTTATATTTGACTGGATCTACAGGGGGTTTAGCAGTGTTTTACAGTTCTTAGGTAAGTAGCGTTTGCAGCTTGGCAACAAAAAGTGGTGGAGATGTATTTATACCACCATTACTTTATCAAAGAGTAGTTTACTTTAGGAAATATAACTTTTCTTTGTTAAATTACTGACATGTTGGCAGTATTAAACTGTATGTGCTGCAGGTGCTGCTATGTAACTAATGCATAGTTGTGTAAGAGTATTTTGTGTTGGTTATCTTCTTCCTCAGGGATTAAAAATGACTTGGATTGCACCCATAATTTCTGATACATTTGTGAACTATTTCTTCCAGGTCTGTATAAAAAGTCTGGGAAGCTGGTTTTCCTGGGCCTGGACAATGCTGGTAAAACAACACTTCTACACATGTTGAAAGATGACCGCCTCGGCCAACACGTGCCAACGCTGCATCCAAGTAAGGAGAGATGGTTGACATGTTAGAACATAGATGGGTCAGCTTGTTATTAAAGGCGGCTGTTGCATGTGAGTTTACACAGTATGATTGATTCCTTCTTTTTGGAGAATTCTTTTTGTTATTTATTGTAGATCGATGGCTGTCTTACAATATATACCATATCACAGAATTACCTGATATCATCATGTGGGCAGAATATTGTGTTGCATTGTTAGTTGCTCTGTAAGTTTCAGCTTTGTTGCTCATAAAATCTCCAGATTAAAAAGAAATGTTATCTTCTTTTTCTCAAAGCTTCTGAAGAGCTGACAATTGGTGGGATGACATTTACCACGTTTGATCTGGGAGGTCATGTACAAGGTGAGGCCTTTCTCCATTTTGTCACTGCTTTTTGTTGTTATGGTGAAACCATATTGTAAACCGGGATGCATACTTTTCAGCCAAATGACCAAATCAGACGATACGTTTTTAGTTCAAGTGTAGGATTAAGTTGTAGATTGTCGTAGTGCCACCTCAAAATTACATGGATTTGTCATACATAATCAGTCCGTCTCATTCATCCACAGTAGAAGTGATCCTGTTCAAATTGTTGCATAAATTTCCCTTCACTATCAATTCAATTCAAATTTATTTGATATACGGAGCGCCAAATTTCAGTACACAGACAGTTAGTCTCAGGACGAGCTTTTCAAATAGAGCAGGTCTAGACCGAACTCCTATCAGTAATCTCTACTTTCATCAGACACATGTTGAAGAAAACAGGAGGCAAGTTGACTAATCACACTTCCTGTGGCTGCCACATGGTGTCTCTGTAGCCCCCACACTGCTGTTGGGTAATTCAGCTATGCTGGAACTACTGAGCCTAAAATATTAAGCACATTTCACAATTTAAAGGCAGGAAGAGTTCCCATACACAGATGTTGTGCCAGTGCTGCAGAAAATGTAGATGAAGAAAGGAGAGGCTGGTAAACACAGGTGTTACGAATTATACTAATTAAGGCTCCGTTCCATTTAGTTTAGCTGAGCCTTTCCAGTGAGGCAACATGCACAATAGCAGCACCCTGACTCTGTTTGATCTGAATGTGACAGAAACTTAATTAGTATTATTAGTAACACCTGTCTTTACCCTACTACTACATGTCAACATTGCTGCTGTGAAAAAGGTATATTGTCATTGTTATTATTTCATAATTTAATGACATCTAATTAGCCACAATTCACCTCTGCTTTTTCATTTAGACATGAGAACCTGTGAACCACTATACTACTATACGAAGCTTGTGTCACTTTAATTCTTTCTAATGTTTTCTAGTTAAAATTGCTGCATTACAAGCCGAGAAGGGCATTCTCTGTGCTATTGAATTGCTGCAAGGACAAACCTTTTCTTTGTTGATAGCTCGGAGAGTGTGGAAGAACTACCTGCCGGCTGTGAATGGAGTCGTCTTTCTTGTAGACTGTGCAGATCACGACAGGCTCACAGAATCCAAGATTGAACTCGATGTAAGATTAAACATCACCGTTACAAGCTGTTTCCTGTCTGTTAACAGTAGATTGATTATGATTGTGCTGCTCTTGTGTTTCTAGGCTCTCCTAGCAGATGAGACCATAGTCAATGTACCAGTGTTGGTGTTGGGTAATAAAATTGACCGTCCTGAGGCAATCAGTGAAGGAGGACTTAGGGGAGCATTTGCTCTTGATGGACAAGTTACTGGAAAGGTAGGCGTGTCATAAATCCTGTCTTTTAACTCCCTGAAATAATGTGATCTCCTCATATATACACTAAACCCATTAGTTAAAAAAAGGTACATGTCCTGATTCCTGATGATCATCATCCTCATTCATCCGCTTTGTTATCGACAGGGAAATGTCTCTGTGAAGGAGCTGAACGTCCGACCGCTAGAGATTTTCATGTGCAGCGTGTTGAAAAAACAAGGCTATGGGGAAGGTTTCAGATGGTTATCACAGTACATCGACTGACATGCAGGACTGAAGCATAACCAGAAGGGATTTCCTTGGCACATTTTCATGAATCATGACAAAGACTTTGTCTCTTTGCCAGTGTCAATCAGCCTAAATTTTAAACTGTGTTACTGAGAGCATTTTAAGAGCATATTCTTTTTAATACTTAAAGCATTTATTCAGGATTTAAAGGTTTCTATGCAAACTTTTAAAAGTGGTTCATGGTGAACTGTCCTGTGTGTTATTAATGTGAACATTAACTGAGTTGTTACATGAGCGGTCATACATTATGCAAGAATGTAGATATGTACACATCATTGTTGCTTTATTTATTATGGAATATAATAAAATATACTGCTCCAGTTGGAATTTATTAGGAAGAAAAATAAGGACCGTTATGATTGTGGTGGGTAGTTTAATGCTTGTCTGACATCGGATTAAGATGGCCGAGATTTTAAAATTAGACAAATGGCTAAATACGGGAGATTAATTTTATTTCATTTAATCTAATGCTACGCAGCCACTGCCTTCAAAGCATATAGCCAAAGATGTATGCTAATGACTTTGGGATTCGCAGGGAGAGAGATTTGGACTTTAACAAAAGATATCTTCCATGCTGAGCACTGAGCCAATATAACGTCAAATCCCCTTTAGAAACCAAAAAAGAAGAAAAGACAGCACTTCCCACAAATAAAGCAAAGATGATGGAGTAAACAGAGTCAAATTGAACCGCTCACTTATGAGTGTGCTTTGAATGATGTACTTCTCACTTTCTGTCTCTTTTGCTCCAATATTTGCATCTTTCTATATGTGTTGAATTAAACTGATGTTATATGTTGAGCTGAAGGCAGCTAATTTGAAGTGTATTAGTTGGACTGAAATATGTCTTCATTATCTTTGACTTTGCGGTGTTCACTACAGAAGTCAAAGATAAAATGTTCATACAGAACTTTTATGACCTTCAATGGCTGCCCTTGCTTTATTATATCATGAAGGCTGTAATAATGAATTGCCCTTAAAATGTCAGGAAGCAATAAAGTAGAATGACCCATGATACAGTAGCAGAGACAATCTTACTCCACTGTATTTGAGAGTAGGAAAGAATAAATCGATGTCTGAGCCTGTTTATTATAATCACCCTTAATGAAATTAATGTTTTTTTTTATTCCTTTAGTCTAGAGCCTTAGCAATAGATCAGCATGTAAGCTGTGCAACAGGGTTGAAGTGCTATGGGTGATGCACTTTTTGACTATCTGAAAAGATATGAGAGTGCACTTGCAATGTTAATATACTAACCTGTAAATGAATCATCTAATCTTATTCTGGATACTGAAGTATTTTTGTTCCTTGACTTTTCCTGTTTCCTGCACCCCATGTTTACAGGGTAACGTTTTAAATATTCTGTTTATTAACATATGCAGGGATATTTGTGGCTGAGATAAAAAGATATATGAAACAGAATTTACACAGGGAATCCTGAGTGTTTACTGAGACACAGTATGCATGTAAACAAACTGCTTTTCCTTTGAACAGTGTTCTGTACCAGTTGCTGAACTCCTGTAAATTATGTATAATACAGATGTAAATGTTTGTACAGTAACTTCCCTTTAGCTGACACTATAAAATGTTATTAATAATATAGTTAGTTAATAGTAATAGTTATTTATTACTGACTGTAACTTGAAATAATTATCTGTGAAAATAGTTGGAAATTGAATGACCACATCCAAACATAAATATTGATCTAAGTAATGAGAGGTTAAAATGTTGTAATAAAAACAACTTTTTTGGGACTCAGCTGGCCATGTGTTATTTTTTATTTTTTATTCCAATTAAGGCCTTTTTCTCACCCTTATTTCTCGTTCTGTATATAATATTTAAGTAACCCGCATTTTCTCTCTTCATGGGTTCAAAGAAAACCACTTAAGTGGCACCTCTACATTATTCAAGGATTGTCACTTTACATAATTTGCTCAGCATCTGCTACACACTTTAGGCCTGACAGACAAAAATGAAGTGTGAATGACACCTGTTTCCTGATGTGAGAAAGTGACAAGTGGTCAGGACATTCTCTGCTGTGGTTGGAGGAGCCTCATCCTTTAGTGCCCCTGTGGTACTGTGGCGTCCCTCAGGGCTCTATCCTGGGTCACCTTCAGTACTAATACTAGTAATGACAGAGGCTATACAGATAATTCACCCTCAGTACACTGTAATTCTTCAATGATGAATTATGAAGACTTTACTGTCATCATGAAAACAAATTTCTCCAAATTGAATACAATCTCAAATATGATTAAAATAGAGTTTGTAGAAATGCAAAAATAAAATATTGTTTTACATTCTTTGGGAAAGAGGCATATAATAGAGTGATTTTCTATGTTCAAGTGAGTTGTATTCTGGGACAACTCGGTTTGCTCATATCCTGTTCTGTTGTATCAATTCTCTTTGCTTTCTGTGAGTCTGTGTCACCATTCTGGGTACCTTCAGTGGGAGTTTGTGGTCTCTCACTATAGTCAGATAGCTAAAAGTTTAAGTCAGATAGACATCAATTGAGGTGCATTGAGACAAGAAAAATTAAACCACAACACCAACAATATGCTAATTATTTGACCAGTAAAGTTCAATAAAGAATGGGTCTAATGACGCATGGGCAGAAAATGGAAAGGCCAAAAGATGGCAAAGATGCCTCCTAAATATTGACTCTTTGATGGGTATTTTGCTTGCTACTGAGATTTTTTTTCACTTTGACATCAAAGTATAAAAGTCCAAATTACATCCACTGTGATTTACTGTAAAAAACAACACAAAAAGTCTTCTTCTTCTATAAGCACTGTATCTGTATAGTCTTAATAGCCTTTCGATCGACTAATGTGAAGCCAGAAGGCTGAAATATTTTTGATTCAGACCTGTTATTAGATTCTCAAGTGGTGCAATCATGCTTTGTTTTGGCACATCACTGATGTTTTATTATCATTTTCTGATGTTGTGAAAGTTGTTTTCATATCCAGGCTTAATTATTGTGATACGCCTTCCTGTAACATCAATCAGCTGCTGAAAATTGCAGGGTGCTGCTTCCATGCTTTTTGCACATTCCTAGAGAAGTGACCACACATTACCCCAAACCTTGCTGCCCTTCACTGGCTGCCTGTCAGTGTTAGAAATGATTTCACTGCTGGAAATATCTCAGCATCTACTGGATGGATTGTCACAAAATTGTGCTCAGTCATTGTATCCAGTTGACTTTGGTGGTGCCCTGGCTAAGGTTGACATTTTTTGCTTTTAGTGAAATATTTTGACAGCTGTTGGATGGATTGTTTTAAAATCTGGTACAGACATTCATGTTCCCCTCAGGATAAATGGACTGGTTGCACAGCAGACACTTTGACATGTCACAGCAGGAAACTCACAGGTGTATTAATGATATCTGCAATCCACTTAGGAGAGGTCCTGCAATTGTGTGTGCTGGTTGTAGAAGCGGGTTCACTCTCACTGTTACTGGGACACTTAACAAAACTGAGCTGTCGTTTTCTGGCTTTGACAAGTCAGAAATGTGCAACCAGTCCATTGTAATCACTTCGGTGAAGCCCTGACTTTTCACCTAGTGCCATCATTAGCTCAAATTTAAAATTTGTCCCATTTGGAACATAGTAAACATTATATTAGTGTTTACATCAAAGTCCTTCTGTGCATAAATACAACCTCACAGAACCAATGGCATGGCTGTAGACCCTTAGTCCTGTTATACTAAAACCAAGAGCACTGTCTTAAAAAAATAGTGTATAAATACATTTTTAACACTGTAGATATTGATACTAGATTTATTTAAAATACAGTGTTGAGGTACTAGTACTTGAGTTTTTTCCGTTTTTGGGAGACTAGTTTCTCTAATTTTATTCCATTACTGATAAAATATGGCTGCTATTTGTGTTATTTGGTGAACATTTTGTATCTCAAAAATCTATTGTATCAGGTACCCGGTTAGCTCAGTCAGTAGAGCTGGCGACCCATATACAGAGTTGCTGGCAGCGGCCCGGCCGTTCCGAATCTGGACCCTACAGCCCTCTTCGCCTCTCGTGTCATCCCCGTACTCTCTACACACTTCTCCTGTCTATCCGCCGCCGGCCTGCCCCTACTCTAACATGAACATTAAATCTCAATGAAAAGCCGCAACACAACATAATAAATACACAATCTATTATATCTATTTCAGGGAACTTGCCTTGTTTCTACTCAGTGACACAATGCACTTTAGACCTTATCTAAAAAGTTAATTAAGAGTTGTTATTGAAAGAGCCTGTGATATTTTTGCAGGTACATGGTAAATCATTAGTAATTTGACACTGATAGGCACTCTTGAGTTAATTTTACTGTTAATGCTTGTTTACTTTGAACTTAAAAATCTTAATCCAGGACCTTTACTTGTGATTATTGGATTTCCAATTAGTACAGATGCATTAATTGCACATTTTATCACCCACATGCCTTCACAGTGTTGTCTCTCACATTGTGGTCATTTAAGGCTTTCAGGTCATTTGGCTGTAATTTGTTCTCCTAGCATGAGGTGGCAGTTGTGCACCTAAATATCCCCAGCAAATATCCCCTTGTGATTGTCAACTTAACTGAGCCCAGTAGCTTTCAGCTTCCTCTTGTTTTTATTCCACTGCAGGCGCCACGATTGTACATTGTTTTTAGTTAATGCCTTGTTAAACATAATCAGATATAATTGCGGCAGTTACAGGCCTTAGCTGTAATATGCTACAGTAATCGGTGCTTTACACACCAGGTGGAGGAGCAAAAGGTCATGAAAAAGTAGTTCTGTGTTCCAAAATATTCATATTTACACATAAGCTTATGTTTTATAAGCAAAATACTTCATGTAAGGTAGGCTGGGGAGTTCATTTATGCTCAAATTCAGTTTTTTGTGCACAGGCTGAATTTGAAAATATGGATCTCCTGAGGTAAAAAAGCTGAGTGCTGCAGTCTGTGATACATATCCTCTCCTGACCACCTTCATACAGTGAGGACAATCAACCTGCCTTTATCTTAAGAATTCATTTAATTTCCCCACAGGCACCTAAGCACAGTGTTCCTTTCTTTATCTAGCAGGATAGTTTTAAAAATACTCATCATTAAATATAGAGAAAGACGGAGTGTGACTCGGTGGTACAGTAGCCACAAAACCAACTAAATTCCAGACAGGATGCTAATTTTTCTTCCTGAAATAGTTGGAAAAGATTAAAGTCGACACACAGCTTGGCTCCAGTGCCTTTATTAGTAAAGTGCTCAGCCTAGAAGTACATTCTTATTCACTAACATGCAATACTAAAAACAACCAAATGTTTGGCCTACCAATAGCATGAATGAACACATGGCAACAATATTCTCATAGAAAAAAATTACAATGTGAATTCAAGTATACACACAGAACTTCAAGTAATGCACACATTTTTTTTATATATATATAAACACAAAATACAGTTTTTCATGTTGCAAAGTAATAATAAAACATAGTTGTGGCACATTCTTTGACATGATTTCAGAGTTAGCAGAGGAGAGCAACTACTGGTTTCTACTGTAGGTGCAGTTTGGAGTTTCATTAAAGTACATTCTACAATGTTTTCAATAAAAGTAATTCAACTGGAAATGTAGGTCCTGTATAGTTGTGTGTATCCACTAAAGCATGTACGATTTAAAAACTGCTGCGAGCTGTGGCGCACCTTTATCATAAAGGTAGCTTGAAACCGTAGTGACCTGAAATCCTCTAAGCTTGCTTCACAGATCATTTACACTGGATTTATATACAGAATCAGTTTGGAAATACATAACCACATTGCACTGAACTGCTTTAAAGGAACAGTTCAAACCTTGGGGAAATACACTTATTTGCTATCAGTCCGAAATTAGCTTAACTCAAAGCAGCAATAACAGATTTCTTTGACCACTTGTATGAACACATACAGTATCATCACATTTTAAGTTGATATGTTGGACTTATTAGCAAACATAAGCATTCATTTGGAATAATTTTGTCTGTCCACCAAATAAATGTAAGTCAATACTATTTCTCTTTTTGCTCTATTTTTGGTCTCCACCAACTCCTGAGGGAAACATTTAGCAGCTAACATTGAATGCTCCACTATGTTCACCAGCTAGTCGCTACCTCTCGTTTGTTTACACTCTGATTTTTGTGAGGATTAAACAAACACCAGATTAGTGAGCTTTAGATGTTTTGGTATGGTGATTTTTTTTTTACCTTTAAACAGAGCAAAACAGCTGTTTGCCTCAGTTTCCAATCTTTATTAAGCTAACCATCGCCTAGCTCTAGCATCATATTTAACATGAGAGTGGTGTCGAGTCATAAAACTCTGGGAAAGAAATAAGCGTATTTCCCAAAAATGTTTAACTGTTCTGATCTCTGGTCATTCCAGTGAGACGACGGCTCTAATACTCAAGCAATTGTTCACACAATACAAAATTACTGGTAATCTCTATATGCATAGATGGCGGTCGGACAAGATAGGAACTCTGATGGACTTTAGCTACCTATGGCGCAGTAGTCAGTGGGTCCCGCTTTTCAGGACGGCAAAACAAAAAGCTCCGTTGCTCAAAAAACAGAGAGGAGAATGAAGCAATTACAGATATCTAAGACAAAAACTGGTCATCGTCTCATCCCTGGACCAGCACCACATATCCCACTAGGATGAAACACAATTCCATGCCTCCCAAGTCCGATCCCAAAAATCTTTTGCTGTAAGGAGAG